CAGGGAGGTGCTGGAGGAAAGGAAGCAGGAGCTGGGCTGGCACCGGGAGCTGGGCTGAGCCAGGAATGGAAACATCTCGGTGCTGGCTTGGAGGAGGGCTGTACCCTGAGTGTGACCCCTTCCACCGCTCCCAAGCCGGAGGCAGAAGCCCGATGCCTTCCCGTTCTGCAGCCCGAACTTGTGCTGAGCATCCCCAAGCTCCCCCTTCAGCCAGAGCCGAGGGGAGGCTGCGGCCCGGCCGAGCTGCCATAATTGCTCCAACACCCAGCGGTGCTGTCCGTGTGATTGGAGGCTGCTAATTGCCAGCGGGGAGGGCAGAGAGAGGAAAGCAGCCCTGCTCTCCGCAGCTCCGGGGCACATCCTGGGGCCCTGGGACCTTCTGCCCGCGGTCGGGGCTGCCTGTGCCCCCGCAGCCCAGCGAGGGGCTCTGCAAAGCCGGGCCTGTCTCTTGTGCTCGGACACATGTGGCTGCGGGCTCTGTCCCCTCGGTGCCAGCTGTGTCTGACCTGTCGGCGGTGGCACTCGGGGACAGCGGCGCTGCGCAGCTTTGCCGCGAGGCGCCCGGGGCCGGCTGGCCTCCGCGGCGAGAGGAAAATTATCTTTTCAGCTCCATCCCCCTTTCCAGTCTGGAGCTTTTTTAGAGCCAAAGGGAAGAAAAGGACGTGGCCTGGCTTGCCTGCCTCCCTCTGCTCCTGCTCTTTCATTCCGCTTTTCCCGGCGGCTGCGAATGGCTTTGCCTGGGCGCGCTCCCGGCGTCTGTCCCTGCGCCTTTTGCTCTCGTCCTGCCTAAATATCCGGGGCCAGCGGCTTCGCTGGGAAAGCAGGGAGGGAAAAAGGCTTTTGTTGGAGCAGCCGCGTGGGCAGGTGAGCTGCAGAGCCCCCTCCTGCCCACAGAGAAGCCGGCTGCTTCCACGGAGGCCAGCACAGAAAGCCGGGGTGGGACACACCTGGCTCTGGGGAGGGGGACACAGGCTTGGCAGGTCCCTGATGTCCACCTGGAGATGATGGAGAGGCATCCAGTGTCCACCTGGAGATGATGGAGAGGTATCCTGAGATCCAGGGGCAGGCTGGGGGCGTCCCACCCTAAAACAGGTATTTGCCCCTAGAAAGGTGGTGAATTCCCTCTTGCAACACTTTCATTCTGCAAAATGCATTTACCAGGCTAAAGGTGCTCCAACAGCAGCATCCTGCCACCATCTGAGGATTGTTGCCAGCTTGGCACACCGTACTCATTGTCCCATGGCCGTTGCTGCTTCTTCACCCTGCAGTCAGGCCACTCCCCACTCCTTTCTTGGGAAAACCAGCTTGGATCCAGCCCCACTGGGCATCCTCTGGACGGGTCCATGGTGCAGGACTCCCCTCCTGCCAGGCAGGGCTGAGCCAAGGGAATAATTGGTAGGTGCTTCTGGAGTGCCACGAGCAGAGGGCACTCACAGCCTTTGTTTATTGACTCTTGATGTAATGAATACTTCCAGACATAATTACTGACTTTCTGTCCTCCCAGTAAATCTGTTTGCTGGGGAATGGGTGGAGTGGTACCATGCCAATGGCACGTGGAGGTGGGAATGGGTTGGATTGAGCAAAACCAGGTTGTGGCTATTCCACCAGGTACAAGCCGAATAAGAAAAAACCAAACCAAAAAAATGCTCAACATTTATAGAAAAATAATTATGTAGCTCCAGGACAAACCCAGCTTTCTTCTCCCTACTAGGGGGAGCAGATTAAAACTTAATCCTAGTTAAACACATTTTCTCCATTCCCTCCCTTGGGGTACCTCCTGCACACACACGGCTTCTTCCTGCTGATCCCTGCTTCCCTTGGGCTTGTCCTCCTCAGCAGCAGCCCACTGCCCACAGTGGGTGTTCACCAGAGCAGGGACCCCTCTCTTCTCTCCATACCCTCAAAATCAAAGCCTGTGTGTGGGAGGGGATGAGGGCATGGGGCCCTTTAAATGTGGAAGAGGAAAAAGCAGGAGAAGGCATGGCTGGAGCTCCTCTGGCCCTGAGCCAGGTGGGTGCCTCTCACATTTCCCAGGGGGGTTTGGATTCTGAGGGGAGGTTTGGGAGGTCAGGAGGGTTCTGGGTGTTTAATTGTGGGGTACAGGGGGCTGTAGGGCTGCAGAGCCAGGTGTGGCAAGCAGGGCTGGGAGCCAGGAGCCTTGGGGAGAGCCTGGTCTGCAGCCCCCCGTGCATAGGGGGGAAGCCCTTTAAAAGTGTTACTTAACCCCAAATAATGAAAGAGGAGCTCTTTAAAGAAGACAGTTTTTATATTCTATTTTATTTATAGGTCCTGATTAAGAGGAAAAAGTGCAATTGTCCTTTAAGTCCCAGTTTCCCTGTTCCCATCCCAGGACTCATATGCTCTGTAGTTTATAGCAAACATTTGAACCTGGCAGAGCCCCATGTTACTGCTGCAGCTGTAAATAACCCAGGCTGGCATTTATGGCACTCCCATGGGTGACTAACTGAGGGCTCTGTGCTGCTGGCAAACAGTGGTCCCACAGGGCAGGCAGCACCTACAGGGGCTCCGGGGATGCTGTGGCCATGCCCACCCCCACGGGACCAGCCCCACAGCCCCCAGAGGGACACCAGCCCCAGTTCAGAGAAGTGTTGGCAATGCCATGGGTTAATAGACACACCAGATGCACACAGCGTCCGTTCTGCTTGTGATATAGTGCTTTTTCTGGGTATCTTGTAATGCTTTCTCAGGCTGTTTATTTATGAGACAATTTATTACTGCGCAGTTATTCTATAGCAGGGAAGTCTATTCCTGGGAGCCTCCGTTAACCCAGCCAATTGCTTAATTGGCTCGCTGATGTCTCCACAAGGTACACCAGGAGAGAGGCTCTTGTAATGATCTCAGCCTTCCTCCTGCCCACACACCACCCGTGCTGCTAATTTAATAGTGCAAACATTTATTATTCCTTTTATTTGGGACTTAATGTTAGGGCGATTAGAGAGATCACTGGTGGAAGGGGGTGAAACGCCCCGGAGTGCCACTGGTTGCAGCTGGGGTTGGTTGGGCTCATCCTGCAAAGCCCAGGGGATGGTGGTGCCTAGCAGGGTGTGTGGTTAATGAGGCACCAGAGGAGGGTTGGGGCTGACAGTGCCGGTGGGGCTCCTGCCTGACCCTCACCCCACGTTTGGGGCACTCACCAGCAAATCAGAGGAAGACTGGGGAGTGTGTGTGCTTAACACCTGATCTCTTATTTATTGAGTTTAATGTGCTCTGAAGGGGAAATAGGTTCCTAATGAACAGCCTGTGCTCTGTGGAAATGACTGGAAGGGCCAGGGGAAAGCCAAGCTTGGATTTGCTCGGGTGGGGAGTCCCTGTCCCTGCCCAGCTGCAGGAGAAGGGCGCTGGGCCACTGGTGGCTGTCCTGGGGCTGCGGTGTGTGCCCTCCCGAGCCGTGCTTTCACAGCGTGGCAGCTCTAACCCTCTCAAATCCTTTCTCCTGCTCCTTCTGCCCTTTCCTGCCTGTGACTGTCCCTGGAGGATCCTCGCTCTGATATCTGCCCACAGCAGCGTGCCCTGGGCTGGAGCAGCAGCTCCGAGCCGGCCTTTCCCTTGGGCGGTTTCCTGGGAGGAGCATCCTCCCAGCGAGCATCTCCGCGCCGTGCATGAGCGCTGTCCTTCCCTGTCGGGTTTTTAGGCATTGTTTGGCAGAGCTGACAGTGTTTCTATAAGCCCTGCTGGATCCGTGCCCGCTCCGGCTGCTGCCGCTTCCCCAGCATCCCTGTCCAGCCGCCCGTGCCCCGCGGCACAAAGCCCGGCCCGCGTGTGCCGCCGGTGCTGCGGGGACGCCGCTCCTGACCCCGGCTGCCGGCGGCACAGACGGGCCAGGGAAGGAGGAGTTGGCAAACAACGCCGCCAGAACGAGCCTTCTGCTGGTGTTGTATTTGTCGCAAAGAAGCGATTAAGTTTCCTCATGATTTTCCCTCTTCTCCGGCTCCCACCGCCTATTGTTCCCGGCTCCATTATCCCCCCGCCGCTTACATAAGCGTATCGTGATGGTTTCTGAGGCACAATAGAGACAGTCTCATTCATCCAAGGTCATCAGCTTTTACTTGCGCTTCAAAGCATGTGGTAGAAGAAGCGTTTTCTCCTAAAGACGTTTTTATTGTACTCAGCGCAGAGGCTGAGGGAAATCGCAGCGCGGCACTTGCACCGCCGCAGCTCTTCTTCCCTCCCCGCGTCCGATCCTGGCGGGTCAAATCCTGCCTGGAAGGTGAGGAATTGGTTTCTGAGCTGGTTGGGACACCACTGTGGGATTCCCAGACTGCCACTGCACTGGAGCCGAGGAACTGCATGCTCCATCCCTACCCCTTCCCAGTTAAATGGGAAGAGAGGTGGAGAGGGGCAGAAAAGTGGTTGTATTTCGAATTCTCGGACCCATATGGGTCTCGGTGTGGACAAGTTATAGAGCGGTCTCTACGGCCTCCTGCTGCTTTCTCCCTCAGCTGTGGTCCAGACTCTCCCTTTCCTTACTTGTGTACGGTCGGGACTGGGCAAACACGAAGGCTGCTGGCAGCCTCTGTGCGGGACGGGGACTCGCTGTGCCCTGGAGGGTCTGTGCCCCGCAAAGGGCAAAGTGCGGCGGTGCCCGCGATCCGGCAGCGAGCTGGAATTGGCCTCTCGGCTGGGGAAGGAAACGATGGGGATGGCGCACGGACGGCCCTGGGGGCTGCGAGGGGCTGGAAGCCCCCCCAGGAGCCACCAGGCGGGGGGAGCGGACACCACCCGAGCGGGTCGCGGTCCCCGGAGCCGCCCCCTCCCCGGGCTCGGCTCCGCCGCTCCGGGCGCAGCTGCGGCGGGGCGGTACCGGGGAGGGGACGGCGGCGGGCCCGGCCCCTCTGCCCGCACGGGAGGCGGGGGCGGCCGGGGCCGCACTCCCCGCAGCGGGCCGGGCTGCGGGCCGGGCCGGGCGGCGCGGGGGATGTAGCGCTCAGCACCGCGGACAGCGGCGAGGCCGGCCGGGGCTGGCCGTGGGTCCCGGGGCCATGGCCGGCGTGCAGCAGGGCGAGAAGCAGCTCTTCGAAAAGTTCTGGAGAGGCACCTTCAAAGCCGTGGCCACGCCGCGACCCGAGAGCATCATCGTGGCCAGCATCACCGCCCGCAAGCCGCTGCCCAGGTAAGGGCTACCGGGGCAAGGGAGGGGGGCTCTGGCAGGCCCCGTGTCCTTCCCCACCTCTAGTCCCCTTCCCACCATAAGGAGAGTCCTGAGTGTGTCCCCCGCCACCAGCAGTTCGTGGCTGGAGGAGCCGGGGCACCCTCCCCATGCCTGAGGCTGGGGGTGCTGGCTGGCTGAGCCCCCTCCCTGGGCAGGTGCTGTGCTCCAGAGCTGAGCAGGTTTGGGAAACTTTGGCTCGGTGGTGGTTGGAGCCTGGGAGCAGGATGAGGATCTGCAAAGCTCTAGCTGGGCTATGGAGAGGGGGCAGTGATGGGGGGCATCAGCTGGACAGTGTGACCAGCTCCATCTCCACTGTGCAGAGCCCTGGGCTGTGTGTCCTGCTGGTGGCCTTGTCTCTTTGTCAGCCTTTCCCCTGGAACCCTTGGGAAGATGAAGCCTGGGAAGGGAAGCAGCCCCCTGGGGCTGGACCCTGCCCTGTCACCGAGGGGAGGCTGGTGCCCCCCAGGGACACACAGTGCAGGCAGCCTGGTCACTGCCGTGGACAGGGACAGCTCTGGGGATGGTGTCCCCCATGTCCCACAGCCAAGCAGCCTTGATTTTGCTCACCCAGTACCTGTTCTGTCCTCCTGCTCCAGGAAAGTCGATGCTCTCATGTTTGCCAGTGGCTGAGCAACAGAGAAACCTGTGAAAAGAGGCAAGGGGGCTGCAGGTACCCCTTGAGCCTCTCTGCCAGACTGTCACACAGGCAAAGGTCCGTGTGGCTTCCTCACAGCCATGCACACTCTAATTTAGACCAGCTTTATTTTGCTGCTTGTCTCAGTATTTGTTAATAATATCCTATTTGTGCTGCTTTTATAAACAAAGGACTTTTTTGCTGGCTTTCCTCTCTCTTTGCTCTGTTTTTCTTCTGCCGGGTTCTGCCCAGCTGGTGTGGGGAGCCAGCCAAAGTTCCGTGGAGGTGCTGTGTCTGTAGAGGAGAGGGGCTCAGTCTGCTGGAGTCTGGGTGTTGGGGGCTAAGCCTGTACTAGGGAGGAGAGAGATCCTTTGGAATGAGCCATTTCGGATGCTTCCCGTGCCAGTGGAGGCTGTGAGCCACAGGAGCAGTGGGGATGGGGGACCCTTCTGCCTCTGCAGCCCAGCTGCTGAGCGTCAATTTTTCCAATCTCTCTGATTTCCATTAATCTGGGTAGGAAAATGGGAAAGGCATGGGTTCAGCCTCCAACTGAGAAAAGCAACTCTTGTTTCCACAGGCAGTGTTTGCAGGGCTTCAGCCTTTGTGCAGAGAGGAACCTCTGTGTTTTTCTTCATCCCTGCATCGGGTATGGTCGGCACCTGAAGGGCTGAGGGCTGGCTCACACACACTCCCACCTGGACTTTCCTGAGTGAGCTTAAATATCTTGCAGTTGGAGGTGTAATAAGGCAACAAATTCAGGTTTTAGGGAAATACAGCCAGCCTGGATGCCAGGAATGATGCCTGGCTCTATCTAGCCAGCAGTTTGGATGGCTCAGACATCGTGGTGGGGCTGAGCACCGCGGCTCGGGGTGCTTGCACATCCATTAAAAAGTTCCCAAATGTGTGCTCCTCTCCGTGCTGTCGGTAGTGACAGCTCCGGTGGGAGTGAAAGAGTGCAGGAGCTCTTGGCACAGAGCAAAGCGGCCCCATCAGCTCGGCTTTGCTGTGGTTTGTGGTGGGCACCAGCAGATCCGGGTGCCCACACCGGCTGTGCTCCGGCCACGCCGCTGCCGGGTCTGTGCAGCCCGGCTCCTTTTGTCCCCTGGCGGTGTGTCCTGCCCGGTCCGGGGATGTTCCCTGCGGTGTGGCAGCTGCACAGAGTGGGGCCAGCCCGGCAGGGCTCACCCCGGGGTCCATGGGGCGCTCGCTGCACTCACTCTGCCCCAGGCACGGAGGGGCTCTGCTGCTTCAGGGGCTGCCACCAAAGGCTGCGGGGACAGAGGTGCTGTGGTTCCCAGCTCTTCTCATCGGTGCTGCCGGCTCGGCTCGCATCCCAGAGGGCTCTGCCAGGAGCCCAAGCTGCCATCTGGGCAGGATCACACCTCTGACATGCCAGATCTTCACTCTCAGGGGCTTTGCAGCAGGTCCCTGCTGAGCTGCACAGTGATGTCCCCAAGCTGGCCCTAGGCTTGTAGTCCAGCAGTAGCCAGAGCCAGGCTCTTGCTCCCCATCCGTGGAGAGAGCAGACCCAAGGCTTGCAGCATCTCCTCTTGTAGAGGTCTCTGTTGCCTGGCTCTGCTCTGGGTTTGTTTTTCCGGAAGGTTTTGCTGTGCCAATGCTTGGACCAGCCTCTCTTCCCTGACGATGCTCCCGACTAATTTAAGAGCAAATGACTGTGGTGCCAGAGAGGAGATGGGGAAACCAGTTAGCCAAATGAAATATTAAGATGACCATCTGGATTCCTGTTTTCTCCCACACTTGACAGCTGGTCCCCTGCAAACACCCTGCCCTGGATCCGGCCCCGTGCTTCCCACAGCAGTGAGACGCTGCCATGGTTTCTAGGCCAGCGCTGCCCACCTCCCATCAGTTTTCCTGGCTGGGCTTGTGCCCTCGTGGAGTGTCAAGGGGCTCAACTGCACCATGGGGGTCCTGCCAGGGACCACCCCCAGTGTCCGTAGCCCAAAACATCCTGCAGAGTGCCCTGACAATGGCTAAGGGCCCAATCCTGGATCCTTGTGGGGCAGCAGTGGGGTTACCTGGACAGAAAGGGATGCTTTTTCCCCTTGCCCCATACCTCACCACTACCTTTCTGCTGCTTCTGCAGGTAAAGCCTCTTCCATCTGAATTCCCCTCAAGCTGTCTTGGAGGTTGGGGGGGTTAAAGCTTTGCTAAACCCACAGTTCATGCTGGAACAAAAGAGTACATTAATATCTTCCCTCCTGCTGGGGCTGGAGGGGGCATTAAATCCAGCCCCCCAGACAGCTTTGTGCCCAGAGCAGAGCTCTGCCAAAGTAAATGGATTATTGACCAGTTTGCAGAGTGAAAGGAAAAACCGAGGTGATGGGGAAAGGGGCTTTTCCAATTAACCTTTGCCCACACAGGGCATGGTGAGGCTTTGCTGTGCAGCTGAGGCTGAGGGATTGCATGGTGAGGGGAGGTTGGGGCTGACCCAGAGCTTGCCTTTGCAGGGGAATTGCTCCAGCATATGCAAAATCCCAGTGTGGGATTTGAGGGGGTTTTGTGCCCAGTGTGCTGGGGAGGGATGGGGACAGGGTCAAGGACCACCTACCCTGCCCTGAGCTCCTCTGCCAAACCGGGGTGCCCTCAGTCTCTCTCACTGGCCCATGAGGATGGGGCTTTGCCTCTGGTGAACTGAAAATGCTTTTAAAATCTGCTGTGTTAAGGTGCCACTGGCCTTTGGGGATGAGTATGAACGCCATGCTCTGGCCCCAGCCCCAGAGCAGGATCCACCCAGCCTCTGGGCTGGGTTTTTGTCTGCATCTCTTCCCTGGCTGTGACCTCGGGGACAGCACGAGGCCGGGAGCCCTGTCCTCTTGGAGCAAGCACTGCTAAGAATTCCATCAGCACCGATGCCGGGACCTGGGGACATCCAGGCAGGAGATGCTCCAGGGAACTGGAGCTGGTGGGAGTGTGGGGGCTTGTGGGATGATTCTGGGGCTGGTTTAGTTCTCTGCTGCCACACTGCCAGCTACGGTGCTGTTGGCATGAGCTGCCCTGTCTCTGTCCTGTCCCCGGAAACTCAGCCGAAATCCACTTTTGGGCACTCCGGGGCTGGGGCCTGCGGGCGCTGGTGTCAGCTCCTGGGGCAGCCGGTGCTGCCGAGTGAGCGCCGGGGAGAGGAGGCTCCTGCATCCCTCCCTGCCAGATGGTCTAAGTGGGTCACATCAGGGCAGCGCTGGGGATTTGTGCTTTAACCCTTAATCCCCCGGGATGCACCGTGCACGGAGGGGGAGGGATGTGCTGCTGAAGTGGGATTAAACCGTAGCTTGCCATTGCGGGTGATCTTGGAGAGGAGTCTGGGCGCTGCTGCGAACGTGCTGGGACAAGGGAGACGCGTCCTCCCGCTGCACGGGGACAAGGCAGGAGCCATGGCACCGCAGTGTCGGAGGTCTCGGTACCCCAGCGAGCGCACAAAGCAGCAGCTGCGGCCTTTGCGGCGACTTTTGGCCATCCCAACCTCTGGCTTCCTTTGGCGGTCGCGAGTCCCAGCGGGCTGGCAGCTCCTGGGCAGGGACGTGGGGTGTGCTGCCGGGGAGGAAGCCCCGCTGGCAGCCCTGCCGTGCCGCTGGCCCCCACTCCCGTTAATCCTCCCCCTTGCTGGCCGGGCATCTGTTCCGCGGGAGAGGCGGCGGCGGGGCCGGGCGCGCCAGCAGCCTGGCTGCCATCTGCTGCCTCCATCCAGCGAGCACAAGTGCTAATGAGCCCGTGGCCCCGGCCCAAGGCGGGGGGAGAGGGGCTTGAAAAGAAAAGCGAGGGGGAGAAGAAAAGCCCCTTCCTCGGAGGGGCTGTCAATAGCGAGGCTTTTGTCTGCCCCTGCCCTCCGGCTCCAGCTGGACGGCGCTGGGAGCAGGGAGAGCTAATTAGGCAGCTCGGAATTGCCGGGGGGCTGGGGGCAGCTGAGTGAGGGGAAGAAGCTGGGAATGCCCGCAGGACCCGCTCCCTGCTGCTCGCAGAGCCTTCATCATCCTCATCCTCCTCCTTTCCCCCGGCCCTGTCCATCTGCCTCTGCTCTGGACTGGTGCTGGCACCGTGACACTGCTGGCCTCTCTGCTGGGAAGCGCTGTGATTTTGGGGACAGGTAATTTCTTACCTGTAAAAGTCCGCTTGAGAGCTTTGCTGAGCTCTGCTTGGGGCCCAAACCATGGGTCCTGCTCCCATGCTCGCCAGTAAGAACACGGGCACAACCTGGCCCTGCTGCTGAGAGTGAAGGGCCACAGCAGCTGCTGAGGAAACACAGGATAAGGGTCTCCTAAATCCGGGATTTGCTGCTGCCCCACCTCTGGCCAAGGGGGAGCCTGTGGTGTCCATGCTGTGCCAGGGAAGCACCGTATCCAATCTCTTTAGATGAGGGATGAAATCAGGTGGAAGGAAGCAAAAGGGAGGACAATTCCCCTGGCTGGCTGGAGGAATGGTTCTGTACAAA